CTACTCCCTCATCGAAAGACTAGTCAAGTTTCCTCAAACGATGCCAGGTGGCACCGAGAAGGCTGCCTTGCTCTCAGAACTTTGGTCACTTGGCGCGGCATGGTCAGAACCGCTTCACGAGACGGCAAAGCGAACAGACACCCACGACATGTCTTTCATGATTCAGCCATCAATGAGAGTGAGATGGGAGGTTGCACAAGACAAGCAAGCTTTGAACTCCATCATCACTGCAGCGAAAGCTCTTTACACCCGGTACAACGACACCGTTGGAGCGATGCGGTCGTGGGACGCTCTGACTCAACATGGTGTTACCATCACAAGTTTGACTGACGACTTTCTGGTTATCATCGACTCAATGTGCAACCTCGACCTGTTGTACTACGCAGCATCGCACACAGGTGAAACCTATTTGTGGGACGCGGCGACCAAGCATGCGAAAACGCTGATCAAGTCGAACTTGCGAACGGAAAAGGATCCCAGAGGCCTTGTTACTGGCCCATTCTACAGTACCATTCATGTTATCAATTTCAATCCCAAGAACGGCGAGATCAAGGAGAGACGCACCGGCCAGGGATACAAGGCCGAATCCACTTGGGCGAGAGGGCAGGCATGGGCCATCCTCGGGTATGCCCAGACTTTCTTGTGGACTGGCGACAAGGAATTCCTGGACGTTGCTCTTGGATTGGCTGAGTACTTCATCTTCCGCCTTGAGACTTCGCCAAAGTCGGTTGAGTTTCCCGTTGAAGGAGAGAACCGCACAAAGGGCCGCTACGTCCCCCTCTGGGATTTCGATGCACCCATTGAAGATGAGGCCAATCCCCTGAGAGACTCTTCGGCCGGCGTGATTGCTGCCAACGGCATGCTTGTTCTCTCTCAAGCTCTGGCAGGCCAAGGCCTCAACGAGGAGAGTGTGCAATGGCGAGACATGGCTATTCTCATTATTAAGGATACCCTCGACTTCTCGCTGGCCGCTGAAAAGGCCAAGTTTGTTTTGGAAAACGGCAGTATCACGACCATTGATACGGAAGAGGGCAAGACCTTTGAGGCCATTCTGAAGAATGCGACGGCGAACCACAATGCCCGCGATCATAAGCGATACTGGGACCACGGGTTGGTCTATGGCGATTACTACCTTATTGAATTTGGCAACAGATTGTTGAAGATGGGACTAGTTTAACTATGCATTTATAGACAGGGCAAACTCGGGTATCTCAAATAGACTTCCTACCACCGTCAATACTTCCCACCATTGAACAAATCACTCCAATCGCGAGTTATCTACTTGATTCCAACCACTTACTGACATACCGGACTGCCCTGGGTTTGCAGTTTGCGCCGTAAACATCATGTCATCGAAACTGATGATTCTATCCATCTCCATGAATCTCTGATCCATCAGCATGTGCGAGATGGCGGAAAGCTCGTCGGGAGCATCCGAGTCACGAGGAGTGAATCCAGTGATGTTAAGCGGAGAACCCATTGGTCCAATCATGGACCCTTGGCGAAGCTGGTTTGGTGACGGCTGAGTCGGATAGACTGGGGGCGGTCTCGGTTGCGCTGCAGTGGACGTTTGACGAGGTGCCAAGGGGCTCGATGAAGGGGGCTGAGCCGCCTTAGATGGTTGTGAGAAGAGCGCATTTCCCTGATGATGGCTGAATCCTGGCGTCTGGGCAGATGGACTGCAACCTTGGCCGCTGATACCACTGGAGTAGCCTAGAACATCTACTGTGAACTGGGAGTCCGTCTCGCACTTGTGATGAAGATCCCGTAGTTGAGCAGCATACTTGCCGGCAAGACATAAAGCATGCTTCTCTCGAAGAATCAGGCCGACCCAACGCTTGGCCATTTCCTCCAGTCCTTCCACGAGCAGCCAGAATTCTGGGACAAGGTCCGCATCATAATAACGCCAATGCACTACAACTTGTTAGATAGTGAATCATAAACACTCTCTCCCCGGCTGTGCACTTACCCAGCAGGACCCTTGCACTGATGAAAACGCAGAACGCGAACTGGCTGGTTGCCGGACTGTTCTCGGGTGTGTATTTGAGGTATTTCTGAGTGATAGTTGCAGTCTCAACTGCAGCAATTTGGCAAGTTTCCGCACTGCAAAAGCTAGGCAGCTTCACAATGTTCGACCAACGAGACTCTGGATACGCTATGCGCTGGTGAAGTAGGATCATTGATGTGTTGTGGGTGACGTGCGCCAAGGTCAAGTTAGGATCCATGTTGATAAGCGCTGGTTGTCTAGAGATGTTGGAGTCCTTCCATTTCTGAGGCAGAAACATCTTCCAACTAGTGAATATTAGCATGGTTATATATGTGCTGAGCAGTGAAACTTACTGAACTAGACGAAGATCCAACTCCTTGAACCGTGTAAGCCAGCTGCTAACTTCTTGACGGTCCTGAAAGTTGATCTTTTGCTGGAGGAAGTAGGTCGTCACTCGGCTCAAAGACTCGGTTGCCTCAATACAGTAAGCAAAGGCGCCAACAGTAGTCATATCGACAGTGTTAGGCCCTTTGTTTGGGTTCGCAGACACTGGTGTTTGCGGCGGGGCATCGGCTGTCTGCTCCGGGCTTGGATAGTGCGCTGGCAAGAAAGCGATGGAGTTGCCAATCTTTGCAGCCGACCGATCCCAAATGCCAAAATACGGGGTAATCACCGATTCTTCCTTGTGCCAAAGGCCTCCGTCTGCAGGCAGTCTGCGGTGGACATCGTCGGAGGTCAAGCTCGTGTTCCACCTGCAAGGACGTTAGACACCCACGATTGCTGCTAGTATCGAATATTAAAACATGAGTGCGTACCCTGTTGTGACAGAACAAAACCTGAGCTAGTAGTTAGCTTCCAAGTCAACAACTTATGAATGCAGAATGTTTACCTGTCCAAGTTGAAGATATTCCAAAAGACTCTGCGTCTTTCTTCCTCCTCGGTCCAGTTTTGCGGTGGTTCTATCGAAGGTAATGGCTTCAACAGAGGCTCTTTTTCGCGATGGTCCGACTCGATGCTCAACTGCAAGTACTCGACTGTTCTTGTCAAGGACCCCACGATTGACCATGCCTTGGATGCATCGCCGTTACCGATCTGATATTGAACGTTAACAAAAGTCCACTTGTTCCTTGTAAGAAAACTCACATCACAGAAAGCAATTATGATAAGTGCCTGAAGGTTCTCCACTGAAAGATGGTCCATTGCGTTGAGTACCACGATGCTCCTGGACCTTGAAGTGCGGCGCTCAACTTCTTGCGCCGAGAGGCGGGTCTCGGGGTTGTCAACGAATCGAAGAGCACCAACCACCATCGCGTGCAGGACCACGACCAATCGTGGAAGTTGTTCTGAATCGTGAACCCGTCGGCGAAATTGTGTCTCATGCAGTATTGGAATCCATGGCTGAATGATGTTGAAGTGAATATTGATGATATCTTCTAGGAGCTCTGGTGACGGCAAACTTGTGGTGATATTTTCGAGATCTTCAAGGGGAAACGCGAGATCGATATTGGGATTGCCGCAGCTGTCAACGCGTCTTCTTTTCCGGGGCTGGTTGTGAGGGTGAGACACTATCTCCAGCCCATCAACCGTGTACCTTCGGGACGAACTGGAGGTTGTGGGGGACAGCACGGCATGGTCGCCAATGCCATCGGGACTGCCTGCTTGAGAGCCTACTTTAGTCTTGGAATTGAGCTTATGCAACTCACGAGCCAGCAAAGACAAAATGCCGACAACATTCTGAGACTCCGTAGGCCCGCTGCTCGACTCTCCACTTCCGCTCGAGGTCGAAAATTGCACTCCTTGCTCTGACTTGTTCAGCAGAGCATTCTCCAATACCTCTAAGCAATCATTAGTTCATCCGCGTGTTTGGTACGTGACATCATCGTATGACAGCTTAGCTACGCACCTACTCTTCGGTTCAAACTCTCAACCGCTCCAGGCTTAATTCCAGGCTTGTTCTTCTTCAGGTCATAAACACAAGGTGAATCTAGCCAATTAGCATCTAAAGTCCACAGGTGAGACATCGGCGGAGCCCTCCGGCCGCATGAGTCCGACGTACCCAATCGCTTGCAGTGAGAACATGTCGGCTGGTCGCGCGAGCAGCGGAGCTTCCGGCGCCGACAACCCTGGCACGATGGGATGTCGTTCTCGGAGGACCCATCGTTGGGTTGCTGCGTTGCGGATGCCGACGTGGCCAGCTCCATGGCCTCGAAGAGGATCGCCGGGCAGCGGGTTGGCAGACGGCAGTGGCCGGCGGCACGGGTGGCCGGGCTGAGGGGTCGCGAGTGATGATCGGCCGTAACGAGAAGCACAAGCGAGGACGGGCGCACACCGGGCGCAAGTGCAGCGTGTCCGTGTCTTCCCGTCGGTTTTGCGTGAGAATCGTCGGCCAGGGAATCGTGCGACGCGACGATGCAGGATGTGGGCAAAGAGGGTTTTCCGCGTTTATGAGGTGGGAATTTGGGGGCGCTTGTGGGGGAACCGGGGGCCCTTCATCGTTCGGTTGCAAATCGCCGAGGGACTTCGAACGCCGAGGGGGCTAGCCTCACGAGGTGATCTCGCCCCTTGGTTTCTTCGCTCTTCCCCCTCAGACGGAGAGCGAGACCAGAACGGAGCTTTCCCCGCATTCTCGGCTTCGTGAGACCGGGGTGATAGCAAACAGTGGGCAGTTTCGTGGAACGAGGTTGGTGCGGAGAAACTGGAGAGACGACAGGGGTCATGTCGAATAAGCACCCCGGTGAGCTTTTGCCCGATGCCCGGCGCCACGCGAACCGCTCACTGCCGCCCGACTGGAGTTCGTGTGGGAGGAGAATTGTGGCTTTGCCTGGGGTAGCGTAGATCAGATGAACGTCGTATCGACGGCTCGTTCACATAAAAAGATCATAAAAAGATACGAGGACGGCGTGGAGTTGCATCTCCAGTTTTTTGGCGTCGGCTCCAGAACCACGGCTTCGGATCCTCTGAGTCCTCCGCGGAGACTTTTCCTTGTTCACAGATGATTCAGGCGAAGTCGACAATGGCTACAGCGGCACCAACCACAATCTCGGAGGAGACTTTTCAACATCAACATGTGACGACGGAAGATCATGTGGCAAAGGATGCGGCGGTCCCAGCCGTTGCCGCGTCGACAGTGATGGAGGAGGCCGGCCAGACTGAAAACCAAGCGCAGAAGCGCTCTCTTTGGATCGCGTGGCTTTACATGTTCGATTGGTACCCTTCACATCTCTCAAAACAGGAGAAGAAGTTTCTGCGGAAACTTGATGCTTTCCTACTCACGTTCACATCACTGGCCTTCTTCCTGAAGTGGCTGGATTCTTCCAACATCAACTCTGCCTACGTCTCAGGCATGAAAGAAGAGTTGAAGCTTTTTGGAAATGAGTGAGCCACTGCATCGACCCGCAACTAATCGATTGACGGCAGCTAACAAGATGTGTGCAGGTACTCCATGTTCCAAACATTCTACAACATTGGCTATATCATCTGCCAAGTTCCTGCAATGCTACTACTTTCCCGACCCAAATATTCCCGATACTTTCTGCCAACGATGGAGGTTCTGTGGAGCGTTTTGACATTTGCTCAATGCAAGCTTCAAACCGCTCATCAGATCTACGGCACCAGGTTCCTACTCGGCGTACTCGAGACCCCAGTTGCATCAGGTTCTCTGTTTATCTTATCTTCATGGTATAAGCCTGAGGAACTGTTCAAGCGCGCGGGCTTGTGGTACGTGTAAGTTAACACGAATAGACAACCCCTTATCTTCCCGCTTCTTACTGATACTTACCAGATCAAATAACATTGGCGTGATGTTTGGTGGATACCTCCAAGCGGCAGCTTACAAGAACTTAAACGGGGTCCATGGTATGGCAGGATGGCGCTGGCTTTTCATCATCGACGGCTGTATCAGTCTTCCCATCGGGATTGCTGGCTACTTCATTTTCCCCGGTATGCCCACCAGCGGCAAGCCATGGTGGCTTACCCAGGAAGAACACGAAATTGGCCAACGAAGAATGAGAGAAGAAGGTATCGAAGAGCCGAAGAAAATCAGCATGCAGATGTTCAAGCGCGTCTTCGGTCACTGGCACTGGTACATTGGCGTGCTGGCCTATGTGTTATTCCTGTCAGGAGCGTACCCTCATGGTTAGCAACCCCATTCTCCGTTTTGTGGCACGATATATCTCACGGGGCATTTTCTGACGCACTCCTCACACAGGCCAGATGGCTCTTTGGCTCAAAGATCAAGCAGATAAATGGGGCATTTACACAGTGCCACAGATCAACACTATCCCTACGGGAGCGCAGGGGGTTTCAGTCGTTGCGGCAGTGTTGGCTACATCTCTGTGCATGGTTTATCCCACATGGGTCATCTTCCACATCGTCATGGCCATTTTCATGTTTGCGAACATTGTGCAAATGGTTTGGTTTGTGCCACATGGTCTGCACTTTGTGTCTTACTATCTCTTCGGTGTCAGTGCAGCCGTTACGCCTATCTTGGTACCAACCGTGAACTACTGGCTCAAGGATTCGGCCGAGGCACGCGCATTCTGCACAGGAAGCATGCTAGTAAGTATCTTGTACTCACAAAAATTCGCAAAAGCTAATAAGAAGTATCAGACGCTCGGTTTCGCGATCTCGAGCTTTTACCCCCTTGTCGTGTTTCCAGTGGTAGAGGCTCCTCGGTGGAAAAAGGGATACATTGTCAACTTTTTCTTCATTCTAGGATGTTGGGCTTCTCTCACGACTGGTTTCTTCCTATATCGTAAGCAAGAGAAGAGGCAGAAACAGCTGGATCTTGACGAAGAGAACCTTAAAGGCGCTAATGTCAAGCACGTGGATTAGTTACCCTAGGCAACTGTTCACATCAAGGAACGATGAACAAATGATTTTTAGAACTTGTTGCTCAATTCAGTTGGTGACCCACAGATCGTTAGGCTGCCATTACACCGTATGCCGGCAACCAACATAAGAAAGGCATCCGGCAGATCACACAAACGCCGAAGAATCACCCGGTCATTCGCCCGACGCCCGATTTGATTTGTGGAACTCATTATCCATCCCCTCTGGCAGGAAGAAATAAGACCTAGCAAGGTTGCAATAAACAATTGCGGCTCTTTTCGCCATCCTGAACAATTCATGCTATTCCAAACTCATCCAAAATGCCACCCCTACCAGGCTTCTCAGACAACCCTTTCCGGACCCGATCGGACCTAATCCGTGCCACGCTTGCGCTTCTCCGGCCGCTGATACCCCACTTCTCTCCATCCAAAGCCCGAATCCGGGTCCCGGTCTCAACGGCAACGCACTTTGACGAGACAGCGGCCCAGCTTGAAGGGTTTGCAAGACCACTGTGGGCGGTAGGGGCTCTTCTTCTTGGGGCTGAATCAACATCGGATCCAGAGTTGGCAAACTCTATCAATGAAGTGGTCCAGCCGTGGATCGACGGCTTCGTTGCCGGGACTGATCCAGAACATCCAGAGTACTGGGGAAAGATCAACGATATGGACCAACGCATGGTTGAGGCCGAGATCATCTCATTTGCCTTGCTCTCCGCCCCTGAGAGAATCTTCGCTCCACTAAGCGATCAAGCCAAACAGAATGTCACGAACTGGCTTCGTACCCTTAATGGAATGGAGATGCCTAAGAATAACTGGCGCTGGTTCCGAGTATTTGGTAACCTGGCGCTTAGCAAAGTCTGCGGTGTCCCATTCGAGGACGTCCGAGACGAGTTGAACTCGGACCTGGAGCTTTTGGATACCTTCTATCGTATGGATGGATGGTCAGCCGATGGACCTTGGCAGACCGCCGAACACGCCCACGATGAGTTTGAGCAGTTCGGAAAGACAGGGAGACGTGACGCCATTGGAATTGGCCGCCAGGCGGACTACTACTCTGGCAGTTTTGCCATCCAGTTCAGCCAACTGCTTTACTCACGTTTTGCTGCAGATCTAGACCCTAAGCGAAGTGCGATCTATTGTCAGCGTGCTAGAGACTTTGGAGCTACGTTTTGGAGATATTTCGACGCTGATGGTCAGTATTGCAATTTCCATGTTTAGAAGAATGACAGGTCGCGTCTAACTATCTGAAGGTGCCGCTATCCCCTTCGGTCGATCCCTGACTTACAGGTTTGCCTGCGGTGGCTACTTCGCAGCCGTGGCTCTGGCCCAAGTAGACGACTTGCCAGCACCTCTGAACACACCCGGCGCCGTGAAAGGGTTCTTGATGAGACATCTTCGCTGGTGGGCTGAGAACTCCGACGATATCTTCTACCCAGATGGAACTCTGAATATTGGATGGCTGTACCCGTAAGCTTTCACCCGTTTTCTTCTACTTTAGGGCTGTTCCAGTCATTGGCGTCTTCATGATGACGAGCCTTAACCTCGGCATCAAATTTCCTTTAGTTGTGGATGGATGGGATGTGTCCGTAGCAGGCACTGACATCAGAGTCAGGAACATGTTCATGTGTGAGGATTACAACTCACCGCAGTCCCCCTACTGGTGCCTGAAGACCCTCGTTGCCGTTGGACTCAGCGAGAACGACTCATTCTGGACTGAAGACGAGTCATTCTTCTCTGAATCGGCGCCTTCGGACTCAGTGACTGTCGTTCGGGCTCCAGAACAGATTCTCTGCAACCACCCCAGCAGCAACCACCACTTCCTCCTCTCGCCGGGCCAATTCGTCGCATGGCCAATGAAAGCAAATCAGGCAAAGTATTGCAAATTTGCTTACTCCTCGGCTTTCGCCTTCTCTGTGCCGACAGGCCCCCTCATTCAACAAATTGCGCCTGACAATGCCCTGGCTCTTAGCAAGGATGGAGGCGAGACCTGGGCAGTCAAGTGGAAGTCTGATGACGTGAGATTTTCAACAGCTCATATCAAAAGTTCCTCGGGCTCAGAAAAGGTGCAAGTGGCGAGCGCTGTCTGGTATCCCTGGGGCGATCGTGCGGTCATTGTCGACACGACACTGATTCCGCCGACGACCCGTTGGCCAGACTGGCACGTGCGAATCCACCGGATCAAAGCCAGCGAAAAATTGAAGACACTGCATACGGTCGAGGGCGGGTTCGCTATCTTCAGTCGTAAAACGGCCGATGGCATGCCGCTTCCTGTCACCGATACCATCTCAAATGACGCTACACTGGGCGTGACTGAGGGAATCGTTCAAAAGAAGAGCTCAGTGCTGATTTTATCTTCCGCTGGCGCGAGCGGAGTGGCCACGAGAGATCTTAATGGGGATGGAAGAACATCAGACTGTTTACCCCTTAAGCCAGATTCTAACACAAACTTGGCGTCGCAGCGAACAATGATCCCAGTTGCATCTCACAGCGTTATTGGAGGTATCGAGGCTGGATCTGAGTTCATTCTAGTCGAGTCAATATTTGCAATTTCTACAGAGGCGAATGGCGGACGCGGCCTGACCGGGAAAGGACTGCAGCAGCGTTGGATAGATGTACCTCTTGTCCGCATTGGGAGTAATCCTGTGTCCAATGGAGAGGTCATTGCGGTTGATGTGTGATGTGGAACGCATTAGACCACAAGGCTTTCGGAACGGAAGCGACGATTTTATTGTGTAAAGAAGACGTGTATTATTAGTGGAATTTAATATATGTTATCATGCCTCCTGACACCTCTTACATCCACAATCGAATCCCCAATTCTTCCTCAGGATCGCCATCCTTGCATCCCTTGGCATGTCCTTCTCTTCGCCGCCCAGATAGGTGATATTAATATCCTCTCCACTCGCAATGTCCTTTGCAGCTCTGAACTCCCATACCCTTTCTTCCCTCCTCTTCACAATGTTCGGGTCGCAGGAGTGGTTGAAGTAACTAGCCGATGGCCAGCAACCATAACCAAAGAACTCAGACCCCTCGTCTTCCAACGAGCGGATACCGAATGAGTTATGGCTGTCGTGCGAAATGAGTTGGTGGAAAGTCTCCGGGGTGGCGAGGGAAAGAAGTCGGAGAGGAAGAATGGCGAGCAGATGCAGATAAGTGCGAGTGAACGCCTTCAAGTTGTCTGCATTACTGTACGGCGTTGAATCCACAGCGAGTGACAGCACATGCTCCCACTTGTCTGGGTGGTTGTACCGGGCGACGAGACCGCTGACGCAAAAGCTCATGACGTCCGGCTGGATTGGTTGCTGGAGCGCCTTTTGAACAGCTTTGCGGTGTTGCTTTGTGATCTTCAAACCCTCGCCACCCAACTCCGCCATTCTTGACGCCCGGACAAGTTCCGCCTGTGCCTTTGTCTCCTCCCAGGCCTCTGCAATTTCATTTGCTTGCGGTCGGGGTAAACCAATGTCAACCAGTTCATTATCCTCTTTACTCCTCTTCTTAACCAGCTTCTCGACCTCAGTCCATGCCTGGATGCCAAGCTCACCAGTTTCCTGGTGCCACTTCTTCTGGCATTCCTCCGAGCAGAAGGCGAAGCCAACGACCTGATCCCGAATGCGCAGGTCTCGGCCGTAGTCGTACGCAAAGCACTGTCCGCAGACCTCGCGCTTGTACTCGCGGAGGAGGGCGAAGACTGTGAGGTCCTCTGCACGCCAGAGGAGAGTGTTGGCTCCGATATCTTGGGTGGCGAATACGGCACGACCGGCTGTGGGTGTGTCGCGTACTTCGAAAAGGGGCGAGATGGGTGCTCCCGGGAGTTGTGCTTTCGAGAGATCGTCGGAGGGAGCTGAGGAGGCGGTGGAGGGTCTCGAGGCGCTTGATGCTGGATAGCTCGTCAGTGATGCGGCGGTATCGCTTTCGAGGAGGTCGATGATGTGGTTAGTCGTCGATTGAGACATGTTGTCGCTGTCGATAGCGGTCACAGTGAGCGATTGTAGGTTAGCCGTGAGTGAAGCAGCCATGTTGAATTTGTGATTTCCACAGCGAATGAATGCACGTTAGTCGCGGGTGAATGTGGTGATATCAATGCACACGATCTGAGCAATGTGGTGATACGCGGGGTCAACAGGCGTCCGCAACCGGGAAAATTGAGTCTCTGTGGTCAATCTTGGTAGCACTGATGATGCAAGATAGCAATGCAAAGCGAGTGTGAAGTGTTTTCAACTCCTGGAGGCACGTATACTGCTGCTGGAAATAAATTGAAAGAATGCCATGCTGCAGAAGAGGTGATTTGAGGTATGGGCAATTTGTATTGGAGGGGTAAAGGGAACGGAGAAAGCGATGAAGTAGGTGGCGGTGGGTTTTTAAATCTCGTGGGTGGACCCGGACCCTGAGATTGGAAAAGCTGACTCTGGACTAGCGTGAAGCAATTCCGATAAGCGAGCTGGGTGCTGCTTGCGGATTGGAAAAAAAATCTGTCGTGTTTCGGGGTTAACGACTTGTTCAATGGTCCAGACTCTTCGGGGGCAAGGTCTCAACAAGCGGTGAAGGACACAGATAGCCGCCCACGCATGGTGCTGTAAAAGTCGAACACGACATTGAATGTCGAGTTCTGGCGGCGAGAAATCCGAGAACGACAGAGACATGCAGGTTAAAACATTTAAACTTCGGATGAACTATGTTTTGAATCAAGGTTTCAGCCTCAACCCGTCAAGGTGAATGACGCTGCTGAACAACGATTAATACAGAAAATTTTTGTTTAATGAGACGGAGGGCCTTTGATTGGTCAATTTGAAAAGACAGACTCGACTCCAGGACGCGGTTTGTGGTGAAGAGTGACAAAAAGGCTTCGCACAATTGGTCAGGGAACCCCTGGCCAATCACATGCTTGCGACCGATCACATGTTCATAGATCTAGTCCATGAGCATCCATCATAGTTGCTACTGGACATCGCCATATGCCTCAATCTTTCAGAGCTCATCGACGAACATGAGTCGAGGAAATAATTCTTTTACTCCTAAGCTCTGCGTGTCGTTCAACATGGAAAGGAAAGCTCCTGGCAGCGTAGAAAGATAAATAGCATGAAGTAATACACGAAGGTCTACTCCAACGACCTGCCCAAGTTCATCATCTGATATCCAAGCTGCTGGCAAGAATTGCGATTTTCGTGGGGACAGCGCTGTATTTCGGTGTTTTCTTGGAGCCATTCGTTGCTTGAGGTGCTCGATTACAAATGGGGACAGCGGAGTTTTTAGGTTAGCGGAGTTTCACCAAACATGAGTCTTACCGTCTTACAAATCAGGAAGGCAGATCGTAGCTTACTTCTGCGTGCCGTCACTCCGACTTCGTGTACTCGATCTCATCCTATCATGAATTCGATCGTTGCTGACAGCAGTCAACAACCCTTACCCCATGTTATTCCCGGCTTTGTCAAACGTTCGCTGCAAAGACTATCTGATATATCATGCGGAGGAGATTGGTCACCTCTTGCATGGTGGTACGGTACCCGCAAGCCGATGAGATCATATAAGACTCTCGCATTCTCAATGTCGTGAAATCATTCTCCCCATTTATTTCATTACACAACAGCATCTGCTCTCCTAAGAACACAACTTATCACTGTCTTCCTCATCTCAACATGGCTTACCCAGAGACCTATCAGTCCATCAGGCGAACTCTCGGCAGCTTACCCCTGAGTGTTGAAGCCGCTACCGAGACACTGCCTAAGAACCTTGGCTCCAACGACGTCGTTATCAAAATCCACGCGGTTTCTTTGAACTTCCGAGATGTCGGCATACTCTATGGACGTTATCCCGCCAAGTCCATAGACGGGGGTATCATCGCGTCTGACTGTGCAGCCGAGGTCGTGGCGGTTGGAAACACCGTTGAAGACTTCAAGCTGGGGGATCACGTTGTGCCTATATTTGACATTAACGACATCGATGATTACATTGATGATGATGTTGCGGCCCTTGGAGGAGATGCCCAAGGTGTTCTTCGAGAGTATGCAGTCTTCGAGGCGAAGCAGCTCGTTCACCTGCCCAAGTATTTATCCTGGGAGGAGGTATGTTGTTTCCGCGGATATCTATCTTCACTGCGAGTAGTTACTGATGAAGTCTGCTTTCTTCAGGCATCCACTCTCGCTTGTGCCGGAGTCACTGCCTGGAACGTGTTGGATCTCCCCAGCGACGCATCCGAAAAGAACATGAGCGTTCTGTTGCAAGGTAAGTGATCTGAAGTCGCACCCCTATAAGCCCAAGGTGAGACTAAACCTCTTGTGAACAAGGGACTGGCGGTGTGAGCATGTTCTCCCTCCTCTTATGTATTGCTGCCGGGGTCCAGCCAATCATTACATCGTCTTCCGATCAGAAGATTGCTGCCATCAAGAAGCTTCATCCTTCGGTACAAGGAATTAACTACAAGACAACACCCGATGTCGCAACTGAGGTCCGGCGCATTACCAACGGTAGAGGTGTCGACGTCGTGGTCAACAACACTGGTCCAGCATCCATCATACAAGACCTGGATGCTCTGCGCCAGAAGAATGGCCATGTTTCTCTGGTTGGATTCTTGGACGGATTCAAGGCAGAGTGGGACCAGAGCGCGATTCTGGGCTTCATGAGCAAGAGAGCTAGTCTGAGGTGAGTTTAGGAAAAACAAAAGACTACAAGCTGTGCTAATCACTCTTCGAAATTGCAGAGGCATTAAAGTTGGGTCCAAGAAAGACTACATCCAGCTCTTCAACTTCCTCGAGAAGCACCAGATTGCGCTCACTCCTCTGATTGACCGCGTTTTCACTTTCTCCGAGTCTCGGGAGGCTTGTGACTACCTGTACTCCGGAAAGCACGTGGGAAAGGTGGTGATCAAAGTCTGAGGGATGCTGTGTCATCGTCCTCAATGATATCCGATGTTGGCATTTTCCTAAGTAACAGATATTATATTGGTTTTGATTTGTCACAATGAGAGTGTTATAATTCTTGATGATGTGTACCTATACAAGACGACATTTTCTGTTGTACAATCGACTCTGGGACTATTAGCTGCACAGAATCACGGCTAGCCCATCTACTTTTGCAAGATAGCTAGGCTGCGCTAGCTGTCAACAATAGCCATAGCCAGCGGAGGCTGCTCTGTTGTCCGAAGAAAAGAAGCGTTGGGCTGACGTGACGATGCTCGACATGCACGAATCAAAGGCTGTCAACGCCGATGTACCTGTCGACATTCAGAAAAAGGTCAATGGGACGGCCATGGATTTAGGGGCCATACCTATTATTGGGCAACCCACAACATTATACCAAAGGTCTCGGGTATTCTGTGACTCCACTAGAGCTAGCGAAGCAGCCATTGCCATGCATATGGGGGCGAAGGAAATCCTGTTATCAGCAACACGGAGCAGCAGCAACGCGCAGGAGCGACGTGCAACTTCCCTATCCATGCACCTCGCGAGTCAGCAGCCCATGACCCTCCCAATGATGCCCATGTTCGCCAGATGGGATTCGCGAGTGCATGCCAACACGAACTGCACCAACAAGACGAGATTCCCAGATGTAGCCGACGCAGCCGATGTTGGGACCGATGAAGACTTTTAGCTCTGCAGGGGTATCGGGCAAGGTGTTTGCCAGCTCACCATCCTCGATCTCCATGGCGTATCGTTGGTCGAATGACATGCACCTAAGAAGCGTCAAAATCCAATTTTCTATTCATCAAACAATCAAATCATCTGCCACGAGTATCTTGGAGTCACTGCAAGAGTAAACATGGACGTGCAGGGGTATAAAAGTATCCTTGGTTGGTAAACCTGCCCTAGATGCCCCATAACACCCTCCGCCTGACAGGGTCTTCGAGGAACCCACCCACTCTATCGTCTGATTTTCGCGGTCTGGAGGCGTGGTTCTTGTTCCCAACTTGCATGCAAGCCAGGAGGTGCGGGGTGGTTTACGAATGTTACGTTGGTACTCATCCTATCCAAATTTATCGGTAAGGGTGTCTTTTGTGGCCGGGCGTTGGTTGCCACATTTCATCAGGGGTTGTACAGACGGAATTCACCTGGGGAGCACCCTTCAGCTACGCCAACTCGCGTGCGATAGTTAAGCATCATTGGCATTGATGAAAGTCAAACTCATTGTCTACTCAAAGTTTTGAAAGGGCTTGAATATTGATACTGACGCCAGACTTTACACACATATCCAACTGCATCACGAGCCCGATAGTCCCAAACATATCCAGGAATTCGCCGGCGGGGACTACCAACAGATCTCTATCTGCAAGGGACCAGGGTCTCCTGCGGCCCCCAGTATCGGAACCAACAACCAGCAACACACTGCACTGGAATGTTTCTAGCCCCTCCCAGTCGCACAAATCTGCAGCGGGGACGAGAACATCCCGATGACGTGTCATGGGAACCACATCATTCATAACTCGGAGACTGCTCCGAGGGCTGTGGGCTTCGACTGATGAGGGACTTCCAAGGTTGGTATCGTTCTCTACGAAAGGTGCCTCAAATCATCACACAGTCCAGATCGACAAGATGTATGGAACGCTCTCTTTTGACAAGAACGAAGACAATTCTTCGACAGAGTTCTACGCATTTTCATCGGTTCGTGGCAGGCGGCAGAGGCAGCCAGCGTGCGACGAATGTCGAAGAGCACGCGTCAAGTGTCGAGAGAAGTTCAGCAAAGACACATGTGCCCGATGTCACAGCACCAGAAGAACATGCACGTACAGCTCAAATCAACACGCATCTCGACAATCGAATCAGAATGGCAAGGATGGGCCACCTAGATCAACAAGACCAGCCAAAGTCATCGGGGAGAAAACGGTTCAGGATGGAGACAGCCACACAGCCACAGGTCCAACACCGCTAAGAGCGGTCAGCCCAACACCAAGCGCACAGGACGACTTTGGTGGGGGAGAAAACATCTTTGATTTTCAATTGGACAACATCGATATAATTGGCGACCTAAATGAAAGTCCAAGTACGACAGCTACATCTCGAGAAATAGCAAGTCGACAAGCTGAAGATGATATTGACGACATGGGCAGTCTGTTTGGTTTCATAAACAACACTTTTGTCACGTCACATGTCCCAGACATGATATCAACTTCAGAGTATATTGATGAAAGATCCATCGACATCCATGATCTTTCCAATCGGACTTTAACAACAGCACCCTCCTCATCGGCACTCAAAATAAGCACGTGTACACCACATATGCAAGATGGACGAGCCGAAAGGTTGGAAACCCTCCTGGAGACGCCTCTTGATCACTCGTCGACTTCAAGGCATTCGGGATCCACCCAAGATAAGCTGCCTGCTCGTCTTTCATCTCTGAATGGGCTTCACGATGTCCTAGACGTCATACGATTTCCTCAAAGCCCTTCCCTATCCAACTCGGCAGCCTCATCTTCGAGCGTATGCACATGCCTCCAAGACCTGACTGCAGGTTTATTCGGTCTCCAGACATCTGGTGAGAATGTTCGAGTGGACCTTCTACTGCTTCTCTTCAAGCGTTGCATGTACAGATGGAAGGGTGTTGACACGTGCGCTTCAGCATGTTCTACTACCCCGAGCCTCGCGCTTCTCATGTTGATGAATGTGCAACGATTGGTCTCGCTGCTATTGAGAGCTTCGTCTTCAACAAGATCCGGAGACGTCACCAAAGACCCAGGACTGTCAGGTTCTTCCCTGAACATCAACATGGGATCATTCGTTGTGGAGGACAGGGCTGATCAGAGATTCATTACTGAACACCTTATAACTTCGAGAATGAAGGAATTGGTTTCTTTCATTTCAACTACGAGTCTCAAAGTGAATGCATCTGGCCTAGACACTGTATATGAGGAGTACCAGCGGCAGATGCAAAGGCTTGGGCAAGCGTTTACTTAGAAGTCAGAAAATTATCTGGAAGAGCTACAAATCCTCAATTGGACCCTTCAAAAACATGAGACTGCCAATGTTTTCTGCTCAAAAACATCAGCAATAGTGGTGTGATTTTGCACAGCGTTGGATTCGCAGAAGGCCAATTATATATGTCTTGAATGTCACAACTTCGCACCCTTGTCACTGCATGGGCGAACATGCGCCTCAGTTGCTTGATTGTGAGCTCCGTGTCGGTGTCTATTGATTTGACATGAAATTGCCTCCGTCGTCTGGCAACAAGACCTCATCATCTCAAAATGAAGCACATGATTTTACATAGTTCAAGTTTGAATGGTTCACATTAATGTTGACAAGATAGCACGGCTTGCGATTGGGCCCAATGCGGTGCCAAGCAAAGCAAAGCGTTTCCGTGGATGTCTCGTTGTGAAATTATGGGACTTGTGTTACACGAGTGGATGAAGAGCATTCCGGCAAACAGTCGCAAACATCCAAAGACAGATAGTATTCCGCACAGCCTGCTCGAGCCACACGTCCGAGTGAGCATACGTTGGTGTCAATTGCATACTTTAGTGGGACCACGTAGGCGCCGTCGAGAATGATTGGGGGAGGTGTTCAGGGTCAGACTCATCTTCCGTCTTACATATTCCGCAAAGGGTTATTGCTCTAAATTGGCACATACTACCCCGGCATCGACTTTCGCCCGGCCTTTTACTTCTTTTCCTGCGACTAGATGATTTATCCGCACTCCAGCTCCAGCCGGCTCAAGACCCAGGTTCGTAAATCACAATCCTTATCTATAAGAAAAGGGTAACGCTGCCCATCTTACCGCATTAAATGGCTCGATTTCTTGAGACGACCCTCCTGTTCTTAAGTTGAAATCTTGGAGAATCTGCAAATCATTCGACACAATGTTCAACCTTTTTGCCAATTATTGGAGATCACCGCAACCTCAGCGTGTGTCAACCGATGAAGTTATTCCCGTGGGATATTTTGATGATACCATCATTTTCAGAAATTTTGTATTCTACGCCCTCTTCCACTTTGACAGCATCCTTGCGCCTGGATTGCTACATGAGTCTCTAGGAGATCTACTAAATCAGCCGGGCTGGAATAAGTTGGGAGCCAGATTGAGAAGAAATGTAAGACATGGTGCTCTAATCATCCGAAAAAGCACGTCTTGTGAAGCAATTGGGGAAGATCTGACTTTGAATGGCCGTATAGGACCGCGGAGAGCTTGAACACCACATACCGAAAGCGTTTTCCGCAGAACGCCCAGCCGTCGGATTTGAACATGTTGACCTAAGTCATCTGTCCGCCGAGGATCATCCCACTGCATCCAAAATACCCCGCCCACCGAGCAGCGGTCAGCCTACTATTGTCGGTGACCCCAGCCATCTATCGGACCTATACCTCGGCCCTGATACTCCCAGAGGATTGAACGACTACCTCTTTACGGATCGGCCACAGCTTGGACTGCGTATCGTCTCCTTCAAGAACTCGACAGTCATAGTCCTTCATTGGCTGCATTTGTCGGCTGATGCCGTATCTATCGGGTCTCTTCTCAACGCTTGGTCGCTGAAACTTCAAGGGCGGGAAGATGAGATACCAAAGCCACTGACAGGGGTCTATGCTCTGGAAGATTTGGGTAAGAATCCGACCAGGCCACACGTCCTTTCTCATCAGCACATGTCCAAGGTCAGTCTAGGCAAGTGGCTCTTCTGGAACTTCTACAATCTGGTCATCAGGCCGAAGGAGAATCGCGTTATCTGCATTCCTGCTGAGTACCTCCGGGGGCTCAAGGAAAAGGCCATGGCTGAGCTTGAGGCGCAGCCATGTATCGACGGCAAGGAAAAGGCCATGGCTGAGCTTGAGGCGCAGCCATGTATCGACGGCAAGGAAAAGCCAAAGTTCGTGAGTGAAGGAGATGTGATGCTAGCATGGGTTGCACGCCTCTCGTTTTCAAGTTTCTCTGAAAATTCTGAGTGTACGGTGAGCAATCATGTGAAACAATCAAAAGCTGGTGGAGCATACTAACATAATGACACTTCTAGATGGCGCTACAGCAGGTTTATGAGTGGCGACGGGCTTTGAAAGACCTCATACCCCGCGACAGACCGATACTAAGCAATTGCGTCGGCTTTGTTGTAACTCTGATACCCGCGAAAGATCTTCTCCAAAAGCCGCTGAGTTATGTGGCTTTCCAAATCCGTCGTACGCTCATTGAGCAAGGCTCACGAGAGCAGATTGAAGCCTATACATCACTAATCCGGCAGGACCCTGTCAACAAGGCCCCTCCTCTGTTTGGCGACACCTCCATGAAGCTGTTGATGTTCACGAACTGGCAAAGGGCTAGACTCTACGAGACCGATTTCGCAGCGGCATCTGTCACCAAACTTGATGGCCCCTTGTTTCCTTCGTATATCCAGGCAGTCCCAGGCCCTTATGAGTTTAATGATGGACTCATTCTTTTTGGCAAGGACTCCGCAGGCAACTACTGGTTTGGAGGACAGAGAGCGCAGGGTCAATGGGGCATGATGGAGCGGAAGATAGAAGAAGGCATGAAAGATGTCTGAGGGAAGAACATAGCCGTTTACGTAGGACGTCTATGCCATCTAACAAACAATTCCGGTTTCCACCACAACACATGCACTCTGCTCTGCTCTATGAATTTAATATCTTTATCCACGAGTTCCATGTCATACGTCCACAGAAGCTTCGCCAACATGAGGTTCAACTCCATCCATGCAAAGCTAAACGTAGCAAATTTGTCAAACCCGTCGAATTTCAGAGCGATGAGAGTGAATTGCGACTCACTTTCTTCCTAAGCAGTCTCGAGGACCAAGCAGAAACGGACGGCTGGCATCCTTATTATCTTTGCAATGAGGGTCCACCCATCGCTCTGGTTTGAAATTCCAGGGGTCGGAGAAATGCTCAGGATTGTGAACGGTGGACCAGGGACTGACGCTGATGTCGGTCTGTGCATCCATCAGTAGTTGTTTTTATTTGTATAGAATCCACTGATTGCCCTGATTTGCTCAAACTCACGCCTTCAGGTATATATTGGCCGTGCAGCTCAAAGCCGGGAGAAAGCCTAGTCGCGCCCCCAGAAGCGGGAGGAAACAGTCTGAGACCTTCGTTAATAACCGCTTGCAGATATGGTAGTTGCTGGGCCTTCCATCCGGTTATTTCGTCATAAGTATTGAAAGCGGCACGAATCTCCTGGGTGAGAAGGTTCAGCTTCTCTGGATTTTGACCGAGGAAACATGTCAAGGCTGATAAAGTAGTTGCCACGGTCTCTCCACCAGCAATTCTGCGGGGTTGTGTTAGGTGATTTCTCCTTTAAAATATCATGGAAGTAGACTCAACGAAATCTTGGTTGAACATACGCGATCGTTGAAACGTGAGCTGTCATTTCCTCCTTGGAGATCTCTCCTGCGCGAACCTTGTCGACGAGCGGACTGACGAAGTCGCTTCGAGCTGCTTTGATTTGAAGACGGCTAACGAGAAATTTCGTTAGTTTATGAGTTCACTGAGAACCATTGGGAAACTTTCAACTTACTTCTCGACTTGTTGACGGCTATAGTTCGAATGCTGGTTGTTGGTGACGATCCATGTGGGAATGAGTAGTCTTGCAAGTTTGGACACCCAGCCAATGCGCCGCAAATTGTCAATCAGAGTGACAATGTAGAGATGCTCGAGGGCAGTGTCTGCCCAGGAATTCAGGATATCTGATCTTCAAATCAGCGGAGCTGCCATCTACCAAAGCATTGAATCTGACCGAAACCAGATATGAGTCTGCTCACCAATGTCAAGACTGCGGAAGCTCTCTCCGAAAGCCATCTCCCCAAGAATTTCAAACGAATTCATGTTGTAACATTTGGTCATGTTCAAACCTTTTGTTCCAGGGCCGCCCTTTTCTCCCATATTCGTGACAAACTTGTCAACAATTTCCGAGATAATATCCTCTTGTTCGACCAAGACGCGTTGGGAAAAAGATGGGCTCAACATCTTGCGCATAACAGAGTGTTTCTGTGGATCACGCTCGCTTCCGATGCATCTACTGCTGAAGCCGGCAGCCAGGACGTCATAGAAAGGCCCTTTTCGCGCAATCTGCCTGCCGCTTCCGGGGTGACCGTAGATCGCTTTCCAGCTCTCCGCACTGGCAAATGAGAGCTCATTAGGCGAGATCCGGACTATATTGCCTGGCAAAATATGTCAAAAACAACGGCGCGTGCAAAAGACGCAACGACGGTTCGAAACTCACCATATTTGTCATGGGCTCGCTCAACTGCAATGTGAATTTTGCCCCGAGTGCTGTGAAAGAACCGATATAACTAATGTTTGAATGTCACGTTAGTATCATAGTTTGGTCCTGTGATTTCTGTCTCTCTGCCTACCAGAGAACACCGGCCCAAAGTTGGTCCTGGAAACTTTGCCAGGGGATGAAACCATAAATTGTAGCTCCATACGGCTACACATCGACAGATAACCTTACGTGCAGCAGTCAGTCCTCTTAGTACGCCTCAGATGTGTGATTGAACCTTACGATAGTAATTATCCATGTAACGACTGCTTTCCATTCCCATTGCTGCGACGTATTGTGGACTCTCTTGGCAAACTGGGATCCAATAGACCAGCTAGACCTGGATTCATGGGTCTCATTTACGATGATATTATCGTAATTCATGGTGAGTAACGTTCTTCGGATATCATAGCGCACTACTGCGAATCCCCAAGGAGTGAAGAATCTGCCTCCACATATACTGTTGGTGCGCCCCTTCTTAGTGTACGACAACCAATCAGGGGTAGCCGGCGAGTTCCAATTAGGAACTTACCGATCGCTGAATCCTGAAATGGAAATCCTCGATGCTCTTTTGGAAAGAACACCCAGAGAGATTCATGGGCGACTCAGATAGGGGTTTGCTCGACGAATGTGCAACTGCATGTCTCTTACGATGGCCTTTCTTCACCCGATTATTTCTTGGATATTAGAACGTAGATATTTTCTTGTCGTATCGAAGTTAACCTCCCCCAGTTTTAATCATTCATATGAAGAAAATCCTTTCGCAGCAGTTCCACAGTTACAGTGGCATTAAGTGTGGCATAATAGATAAGGTGCGCATGAACGACTTGTTATAGGGGTCACTTGATATGATATCGAACTCCGTTGACATACGTATCATCAAGAATCACTGTTGATACATGCGAAAACAATATGTTGCGTAAAGATTTGCTGTATTTGTAAATGGTCTCTCATTTCGGGGTTTGACAAGAATGCTACTACGAGAAATAGTAACGCCATATCCTGGCGTCATTCTTGTATCGGTCTATGATAACCTTTACTCCAATGCACTCCAATGCACTCCAAGTTTCTTAGCGGCGATCAAGCTTCTTTTTATGCGGGCGGAAGATGAATGATGCCTGTTTCGTGGACAACGTGGCCCTCGCGGCCTAAGTAACGACCTGTTTTGAAGCTGTTGACCTCATTAGGTTTCCTGGTCCAAATTTTCGTGATAATACAGTCGAAAGCTTTGGATAACTTGCCTCCAATACAGATTACCTTGCGCCAACGCTCTGCAAACCTCCACAAATCTCATAGCTTCGCGGTCGACTTTCTCTCCATAGGACGGCAGCTCTGCCAGAGCAAGGTACCATCTTCGGTAACATTGGTTTACCATTTTACCAATTTCGTCCATTGCCTGCTGGATACTGAGACCGTCTTTCTCCATGAGCAGCGAAATCAGGTTGTGGTCTACGCCTAACTCCAGGTCTTTGCGGTAAGACAAGACGTCGTTCACTCTAGAAGAACGCACGATGTCAGCTCGAAATGCTTGGATACAAATTTCTGTACACTCTTAATTCTTACAATATCACCAGGTCTGCCGAGACAGTCATGCATTCCTGCAGGCTTGGGTGCTCGTACACATGCTGTGGTAAGTTGATGTTTGAGCCGTACTCGGTCAGGTTGATGGCTGGGTAGACGCCAATTGTGCCTCTGCGCATGTTCATGTACTCATCTACGTCGCGTGTGAAGTTTTGGCCGCTGACTTGTTGGTCGACCTGCACGAGTAGTTGTGCAAAGTAACGCTTGTGTTGATCAATCCATCGATTTTGCATCTCTATATTCAAAAGTCAGCCCTTCACGAACTTTTCGTTTCAAGTACACGCAAAGCTTAGTCATCTGCTATGAGGAGCGGGTGGACAATGAGGAGGAGTGGTGGTCGGTTTCAAGGACGATGTAGAACAAACCTAGACTGGATACTTCGCTGATGGCATCCCAACATCTCTGAAACACATATCTAATGGGATTGGAATCGGCAGTGTAGCGAGGCGCATCGCCGCCCATGATGGCTATGTTTTGACTGATCTCCTCCGCAGCAGCGGTCGGATCCTCCCTGAGGTGTCCTTCATCAAACTCTGTTATGACAACGCATTATCAGTAACTTGGTGGAACAAGTCCGAAATTGGAGAGCCACGTACGATCGTCGAAAAGAAATACCTGTTGGAGTACTCATTGGTCAGTATTTGGTAGCATATGAGTTGGAAGAACGAACCCAGTGATGCCAATCCAACATGATTTTCAGGCGGTCTTCTGAGGCAATCGGTGACCAAATTGATGCCAGGAAACACAGATCAACTTTGGAGTTCTTTGCTGCTTCCGCCTCGTCGTACTTCATGACACTACCGGACAAAGCTCGGTGCGTTAGTTTCGGGCTGAGAACGACTCCACTTCGCAAGACTATTCTAGAATTGGATTTGAAAACGTCTGCCTACCTTGCAATCCATTGGTCCCCGACAGCCTTTACCTCAAAGTAGTTGGGATTGACAACAAGTTTCGTGGACATGATGGAACCGAAAAGCTCCGGGATGCGAACGAAAGGTGGTCGTTTTGCAGTCTGCTTTTCCTCTGGTTTTGGTTGCATCGGAGACGTTATACAGATGGTTTCGTAGCCAGAGTCTGAGCTGTTGCTACTGGCATCGTCACAGGCTGGATCCATCTCAGCGTCCTGTGATTGGCATAAGGGCGTTGCCATATTCAACGTTCTATCCTCTGATGATAGACGTGTAGAGCGAATCGAGGAAATAATTCTCGTCTCGACGAGACTTGGATCTTTGGATTGAGTCAAACTACCAGATATTATTGACCATCGATCACCCCTTTCATATGGGTTCTGCGTAGAGGTCTTCTTCTGATTCTTAAGTATGACGCCTCATCGTCGTTTGCCATACGCAAGACCTGATCATGTGATACTAGGGGATGACAGCATATCTGAAGTCTGTCAACGGGGTGGGAAGGCATCCGAAAACATGAACCGGTGTACTACAGGCTATCATTCCCAAAGGAGAGCATCTGATACGGCCAAACGGCAATTGCCAAAAAGAGTAAATGCCGACAGACCATAGCTTTCGTGCCGGAGGCTCATCTATGCAAAACAATATCAATAAGCCAATCTCAATCTAGAAATTTCAACTTGGAATTCTCATTTTGGTAATGTCCTCTTCTCCCAGCAAGAAATCGGGCTTTGCCAGGAGAGTAAAACAGTGCGACCCCGGTTCTCTGGCGTTGCCGTGTGTGGGCCTCCAATTGATGTTCTTTGTACATAGACAAGTCCCTGTAACTCAGTGCAGTTCGGACCCCTTAAAAGCGCATTTTCCAGAATTACAGCAGCGATAGAGGGTGATGCAATGCAATTAGCAACTTCGATCTCAACTTCAATAGAGGCAAAGGTTTCCCAAGGGAAAAAGAGATTTGACAGCCAGTTTGCTGTCGGAAGCGTAGCAGAATTGATGCGCGCGCCTCCAGCCGAACGAATACGATGTTCTATCTTGTTAAAGAAGATGAGTACTAATGTATCGATCCGTCGTTAATTACCCGCAATAACATTCCTCATCTAGCTACCGACCAACATCGATCATGCTTTTCCGGCTGATCCGCATATCTCCATCCATTCCATCGTTTGTCGCTTCACATGATACGTCCCTTCCTCGATTAAAGTGGTGTGTGTTACCCGCGCAACTTGATGTCTGAGGTGCATGTAATATTCGTCTAGAACCAACTTGTTCACGTTGATTTTGGTCGCCCCTGCAGCGATGCATTGCCGCATAAGATCCGACGGGAATCCATTTGTGCCGTGAAGAGCAACTCGTACTCTCCCGCCAATCTGTTTTTGTATGTTGTCGAACCTAATTTTCAATTAGATGTGTACCAAAGATTAACCAGCGCAGCGGCATACCTTTCGAAGTCCAATTGCGGACCTTGCTTTCCATATTCGCCGTGGACGTTACCGAAAGCCGGAGCCAGAGCATCAACGCCTGTAGCGATGAACTGGTCAACCTCTTCAGGCGTCGTCTTGCTCGCTTCTAGCCCGGCTGTATCCATCACCCCATCTTCAGCGCCCTCAATCCTCCCGGGTTCTGCCTCCGTGGCAATACCGCGCTCGTGACAGTACTTGACCCATGTCGCGGTCTTCTCTAAATTCTCCTCCTTCTCATAGTGCGACATGTCAACCATGATGCTGTCGAACGGGAGGTTGTCGGCCGCATGCTTGATGATCTTCTCATCTTGCGCGTGGTCCAGATGTATCGATATAGGCACGCTTGCTCGGCTGATGGATTCCTTGGCAGTCCTGACGAGCAGACCGTCGGCGTAGGTCACCGCCCATGGAAAGAATTGGAGGATGAGGGGTGACTGAGCTTGCTCAGCAGCGGCAACAAGACCGTAGATCTGCTCGAGGTTGTACGCAATGGCTGCGATCACGCCATATCGCCCTTTTTCAGCATTCCGTAAGATCTGGAGATGTCGATTGTTGTCTTTCCAATTGGTCGGCACGGCCATGATGTGTGTTTAAACGTTCGAGCTAGGATAATGCTGATAGTGATGTGTTCGTCAAGTGGCATTCGTTGGAAACCCCGAGTATTGGATATTTGACTTATTTTCTGTGCATGATCCGATATCGATAGTGGCGAATTTACGTCAACCACATGACGGATGGGTCTGGGGTGATGTGGTGGCTTCCGTGTCGAGGAAATCGCATGGCGGTGGGTCTGGGTCGTCACGAGGGACGTCACGATCACCGACCAACACGAACCATTGTTCCATGTTGACCTTTGTCGTGTCTCATCCCCGCTTCTCTGACATGCATGGAAATAGCAAAATGATTCGGTAAAGCTTAGGCTAAAAATGCTTCACGGAGGTATTCTTACTTTTGTATGATCCAGCTCGGCCTTGAGGACTAATGTGAAGTCAGGGAGCTTTCATGTCGGGTTCACTGCTCGTAAAGTTTCTGTTATATTTTCTACCCAGTGAACTGAACCTATGTTCAATTTACTTTATCTAAAGGCACTTCTCAACTACCCTCTGAGATATCCCATCTTGCTGAGAGTTCCTCTCCTAACGGCTTGACTGGCCAGCCGGATCTCTCGCGACAGGCCTTTAATAGACCTATTACACAATTCCGTTCTCTTCTGCTTTCGAGAGGAATTCCAGCTAAGGACATAAGCACGCGGTCTACTTCAGTGGCCGGCAGTAACGATGACATACCTATGTAAAGACACTGAGAACACATGACACTCGACGGGTAGTCAGAGAGTGTCAAGGCAATCCCGCACACCTTCTTCACGCATTCCATGAGACGCTTCCGTTGCTGTGTGTACTGCTCTAGACCTCCTAATACTGGCACATTCAAAAGCAACAGTATGTGAGCGCAGTAGTAGACCTGGAACGCGATGGCTTAACAAGGCGTCAGTAACTATGTTGGTCCCTTGGAAAGGTGCTCAAAATGTCACGGCTTACCGCATGCTGGAGGGTGAATCCATATTGGCTCAAACACATCGTCCACAGAGCCGGCGTAGGGCAGTGGTTGGAATTCTGCCGTCAAATGCCTCCTCCAGTTTTCCAATTGATCTTTGAGTGCATCAGCCGCAGCAACTCTAGCAATCGGGTCATTCTTTGCTGCTTCTGTGTCTTCTTTGGAACAGAATGCTACGACTTGAGCAAAGAAGTACACGGAACGAGCCGCAAGTTGATACGGATCCAGCTCATCCAATGTCTTGACCGGCCGCCAGAATGTGAACGGACGACGCTTTTCACGAAATGCAGCCCAAATATCTTGGCAAAGCCACGTCCACCATACTGCTTGCTTCAAACCCCCAGAATCACCATGTATGGTTTGAGAGCGCTGTATCCAGTGAACACCTTTGAGATGTCTTTCCCAGTCTTGTCTTGATCCATCCAACATCTCATATGCAGATATGATGGATGAAGTAGCGAGTAGTTCAAGGCTTGTCTTGTATGTGTCGTACTGCATTGCCTCTTGGATGTAGTGCAGAGTCTTGTAGTAATATTTCAAGGCCTCGTTTAGATCTTGATGATCTTTCTCTCCAACTTTTGAGCTCAAAGAAAGATGGCGAGCCGAAAGCGCTAAGACCGCATTCATGAGACCTACATTATGCATCTAAGCCAAGACATGACCGCTAAGTAATGAGCTCTGCAGAGAAAACCTTCGTGAGAGACATACCGCTAGTTGAGGAACCTGTGTCCCGAAGGGTCTCCTAGGGTCGAAGAAGTCCATCTACTAAAAGTTCAGAATGCCCAAATACCAGAGGAAACATGTCTACGCACCCACATGCTGATGTGCCTCACAAAGTTCTGGAAAATCACATGCTCATGAGCAGAGATGTGTATTGGGTTTGTCGAGTACCAGTTCTGCTTCTCAAACTGTTGGTAGTCGCTTAACCTTGGTGTCCTCTCCATCAAATAAGAGTTGGAAGTGCACGGAGTCGGCGATAGCCCATCTGAGGAGACCCTCGGTTGAGCTTTTCTTACTGCTGGTGACTGCACAACGGAGCTTCCGAAAATATCGACACTTTCTTGGTCCACGTTGAAGCTTGTAAAGTCGAACTCTTGCATAGCAGCATCTTGAAGAAGCAAGTCAACCCATACTGCCGTTGCGTTCTCCAAATTGGCCCCGTAAGAGCTGCTTGTTGTAGCGGAATTGTGAGGCGTAATACCCGTGCATCTTGTCTCCGGAAGATGCTCCGGACATCCAGCCTGAACATTGGGTGTTTCGTTGATGTGAAAAGCTGGTGATGTCTCATCCTGAGCTCCAACACTAAGGGCGGCGTCCGGCGACGTATTAGGTATATTTATTTGCGGCTGTTCATCCCATGATACTCCTGGTGCGGAAATAGCCCCTTCATCGTTGACTGCTGGAGGTGTTTCTTGGGGCTCTGGGGATTGCTGCTCGGGGCTGACTGATCGCGGAGGCAAAGAAGACTTTTGTTGTGCGGCATCGCTCTCATGTTGAGTGTGAGCCACATCTGCGGGACTGCCTGTGCGTTTTCTGTTTGGTGGTTGCCGTGGCGCATAGATACAGATGTGTTTGGTCCTTTCACAACCTCCGCATGTAGGCTTTTTCTCGTCGCACTTGACGTGGCGGCGACGGCAGGTTGCGCTATGCGGATGTGTTTAGCCAATGAAATGTGAGACCATACGTACGATGGATAGAGGAGAAATAGGTGTATTACCATCCAGTTGTGTTTCTCAAGCCCCGGCCTCTGGTCAGTCGACCTCTAGTGAAGTATCGTTTAGTGCCCTCCTCCTCGATCACCATGTTGTGTACTTCAGTGGATACTTTGCGCCCTGACAGAGATTGGAACGATAACTGTACTCGAAGTCACGGATAGCAGAGACCAAGGCTGCGGTGATACCTGGTGGCATCATTCGTGGGGTCATTGAAAGCAACTTTGGGAGAACCCGAGCAGCGTCGACAGCGTGGAGGAAGCCGCATGGAGATCTTGCAGCCGGTGCGGGGTAATCTGGGGCAACGGTCCACAAATTGGAGACCCGAGCTTGGGTCCCGGATGTCCCGTAACGGGCCGGTGGGCGGCTGGCCCTGGCGCCGATGCTGTCTGGTGTGTGAATGGAATGTAGCCCTCAGAGGCTATCTGTTGGTCGAGAAACGAAATTGGAAGACTTTTGTTGGCTTGGTCGAGACGAGGTGAAGTCCATGTTCTTGTCGACCTATAACACCGGCAAATTGGTTCACACACATCGGGTTTCCCTCGAGACGAGGGAGTGGGACTTTCACTGGTACGTTGATCATGCGGGGTAGACCATCGTGTGTTCACAGGGTAACTCACCCCGCAGGTTCGGTTCAAGTAGTCTGCTTTTCCGCCGGCTTTGAGTCTCAGTATTGTTGATGACAAGAGGAACTACTCAACGCTTTAGCATCCATCGTTTTCACAATGGCTCTGTCTAGTTGCCGTCTGTTGAGAGGCAAAACTGCCGCCATCACGGGAGGCACAACTGGTATCGGTCGTGCGATTACTTTGGAATACCTCAGACAGGGAGCCAATGTCGCTGTAAATCATCTGGGCCTGCCCCAAGACGAGAAGCACCGACACAGTCTATTAGAGGAGGCGGAAAGTATCGCAAAAGCTGGCACCAAAGATCAACCGACTGGCCAGCTGATAGAGCTTGCTGGAGACGTCACCAACCCTAAGACAGGCAAAGCTCTTGTCAGTGCAGCAGTCAAGAAATGGGGGGGACTTGACGTTTTTGTTGCCAATGCAGGAATTTTCAAAGCCGCGGAGTTTCTCACGTATGTTGGCCCTTCTTTGCATCATTCTCAGCCTCGAGGTTGCTAACCTGGTGAGAACTCAGTCTGGAAAAGGATGTCTTCGACAAAAGCATGCAAGTCAACGTCAACGGTGCGTTCTACTCCTGCCAGGCGGCGGCCAACCAGATGGTGAAGCAAGGACGCGGCGGATCGATCATTGGAATATCGTCGATCTCGGCCCTCGTCGGTGGCGGCCTACAAACACATTACACACCCACAAAAGCCGCTGTATTGTCCATGATACAGTCAATGGCAATTGCGTTGGCGAAAGACAAGGTTCGGTGTAATGCATTGTTGCCAGGCACGATTCATACACAACTGGCGGAGCCTGATATGCAGAACGAGGAAAAGCGCAAATATCTGCAGCAGCGCATACCCATGGGTGTTGGAAAGCCCCAAGATTTGGCGGGGCCAGCAGTCTTCTTGGCCTGCCCGGAGCTGAGCGGATTCATGACGGGATCTCAGGTGCTTGTTGACGGAGGAATGTTTGTAAATCTGCAGTAATCGAATCTCCTGGCTACTAGACTGAAGGTCTAATACCGTAAATGAGATATTACGACCATGAATACTTGTTCAATGAAGTGAAGGCACCATATGATCTAATTTTGGAAGTATTCAATGGCTTACTCTTTCCAGTGGTCCGCTATCCCTATGAGAGGCAAGTTGTGGAGAAGGGCCTGGACAAACATCCCGGGTTGCCTGTGGCATCCTACAGAGCCGCAAATAGAGTCGGGAGGATAAAGTACCTGTGGTAGGCTTGCTGCACCTGCTTCGGCTCTACTAATTATTTCTAGACCTCTGCTCGCTGTGGGCCGGCATACCTTGCGTTGGTTCCATGGTTATGCATGTTGTATGTCATCGCCGAACCAGCTCAGTGGAATTCCGGTTCGCAGGATCCATCTGCAAGGTGCGGTGCACATACTTACCAGGAGATAATGGAGGACACGAGACCATGTGCGGCGAATGTCTCTACGTAGCAATCATTCGCGCGCGGGCTGATCTTCGTGAGACTTCGATTTGTCGTGTTTTGTCAAGGCTAGCGGCGCCTATGTCATTAGCTTACGGAAGCTGATAACCAGTGCGCAAAGAACTAAAATCCCGCAATCCTACGTCAAACCAAGAGAATCAGTCCCATCGGCGATGCCCTGCAGATGACATCGGTGGTGCTCCACTTAGCCGTTGCTTACCTACCCGGTGCGCCAGAGTGCCAGTCTGACCGACCCCATTCTCAAGACTTAGTCATGGCTCATTAAAGCAGAAACACCATTCCATCGCTGTGTGCATCGTGAATTAAGTTGATGATGAGGATGCTTAGCAAGTCTTTCACGCTGGTTCCAGAAGTGAAATGCACCACAGGCAGCAAGCTAATTACCTAGTGTAGAGTAAGCAAAACCATAAGGCTGGGGTCAAGGGATATAATGATTGCGAAGCAGTTAGAGCAAATTGATATCTCGGAGGCAGCGACAAATGCATGTCTTGCCAGGCGGATGCAGAAGATTTCACGCGCGGGAAGATTTGACAGCGACAGGGGGCCACGAGTAGCGAGACGCAAGTAGGAACATCCTTGGACTAATTTTTGCCCCTAGTCCCCGCCCACGATGTCAGTCACTGAGTAGCTAAATTAAGTGCTCAATTATTGATCATTCTCTATCCAGCTTCCGTGATAACCCGGTGCTCACAAAGACAAAGATATCTTGCAATGTGTCTTAGTAAACAGTGGAAGAGCACTGCCATCTGAAGTCATGGTCGATGAGAAGCAACCACCGGGTCAATTCATCGATAACTCTCAAACTAGCCTCGTCGAAGGGAGACAATATAGAGACCGTCAGGTTGTCTTTATTGAATGAATTTATTCTCTGCAACAGACGTCCATTCAATCTTCAATCTTCGACAACCAAGAAACAAATCCTTCCAATAACAATGTCGACCTTAAACCTTAAGAACGGGACTCAGAGCCACAGAGCTTCAACTTCGGGTGGCGAAGCAGCAGAAGCTTCAGCCCTGGCAGACTTTACACCAGGAGAGCAGAAGAAGATCATGAGGCGGGTTGACATTCGCGTCGTAGCCACTGTCGGACTTTTGTATTGCTTTTCTGTCATTGACCGATCGAATCTACCCTCCGCAGCCGTTGCTGGTATGACAGAAAATTTGGGCCTCATAGGAAACCGTTATGTAAGTCACCTGAATTGACAGGATGCTCTCTTTCTGAGGTCTCATTCCCGACTCAGAAAGAAATCCCTTGTCTATGGGAGATGCCAACTCTAACGTGAATTCTGTTCAAGTCAATCATCAGCCTTGTTTTCTTCACGACCTATACTACCTTTCAGCCAATCTCAATCATTCTCGCTCGAACCATTGGTCCAAGAGCCTACTTCACGGGTGTCACAATGATTTGCGGGTTTATCGTCATTGGCATGGCCTTCCTCAAACATTGGGGCCAGATGGCTGCTCTGAGAGTCATTCTTGGGGCTCTTGACTCGGGTTTCTTCCCTACTTGTGTTTACCTTCTCAGTACCTGGTACACTCGCTGTAAGTATGCAGTACCTGAACATAACCAGCTTGGGATATTGATCTGCCACAGACGAGGTTGGCAAGCGCTACTCAGCCTTTTACATTGTGGTGTGTCTCGCCACAGCGTTCTCTGGGATCCTGGCATTTGGGGTATGTTGTTCTCATTCAATACCAACCCGGTTGCCTTACTCTCAAACTGACTGAGTGGAACAGTTCACCAAATTGGAAGGAAAGGCGGGACTCAGAGGTTGGTCATGGATTTTCCTCATGGAAGGCATCATCACCTGTTGTCTCGGATTCCTGTGCTATTTCGTATTGGTCGGTTTCCCCGACACCAAAAAACGAACCTGGGGGTTTCTGTCTCAGCGAGAAATTGCATGGGTTGTATCTCGTGTTCAAGATGATCGCGGGGATGCAAAGCTCCCCGCTCTCAGTGTCAAAGGATTTCTGCGAGGCGGGGCTGATGTCAAGGTCTGGGCATTTGCATTGATTTACTTCAATCAGGCACTTGTCAACTTTGGTGCGTTGATGAGTTTTCGAGTATTCATGAGCTTGAACTAACATTCTGGTTCTTCAGCTTTGTCATTCTTTCTCCCCATTATCTTGAAGGAGAACATGGCTTTCAGCACTGGAAAAGCCCAGATCATGATCGCCCCACCTTACGTGCTCGGTGCGATTCTCATGTGGATTTCTGGGTGGCTAGGAGATCACTTCATGGTACGAGGTCCTATCATCATAGGGGACATGCTTGTTGCTATTGTTGGAACCGCTCTAGTCGGATTCCACAACGACGTGGCTGTAAGGTACACCGGCGTCTTTCTTCTTACTGCCGGCTCTTTTTCTTCTATTCCTGTCGTCATGGCCTATCAGGCAAACAACATTCGAGGACAATGGAAGCGGGCATTCTCTAGCGGCCTGGTCGTTGCGTTCGGTGGTGTTGGCGGCATCGCCGGTTCTCTCATTTTCAGGTAAGTATTCATTCCAGAGGCCCATCATTTCAGCACCCGTTTCAAGCTCGACACATCCACAAAATCTGATCAAATTACAGGAGTCAAGATAAGCCCAAGTATCTCCCAGGGTTAAGCACCTGCATGGGATGTGCTATCTTGAATATCATTATTATTCTCGGCCTCAGCGCTTACTTTTACTACTGGAACGCTAAGGCTGAGCGCGGTGAGGTTGAGCTTGAAGCATCAGAGGCAAGTACCGTTCATATATCTCATATTGACGGCAATTTGGATCTAACATGTCCCTATTTTCTTCCAGGAAACTGATGCCTCCGATTTCCGATACACTTACTGAGTTATTTTGAAGAAGAATCATTATGGTCACTCGAATGAAGCATGCACCTAGTCAGAGTGTCGTATTATTTGGTCAAGACAATTGAAACCACCGACTGGTGCTCGACTGCTATTACTGGGGGATATCAACTGCGAAACACATACTTCTACCATTCTCTCGTTACTCATCATGTACCTCATAACCATCCAATCGTTACCGAGAAAACAAAAAAAAAAAGCGACCCTTCAACGCACAGCTCGCTGTTGTCCTCTCATCAAGAAGGCCTTGCGATGCGGCTCTTCGATCCCAAACTCAGTAACATTCGTTTCCACCGCTTTGAGAAGTTGGAAACCTAACTTCTCATACATCGGCTGCGCGGCCATTGTAGCCATAACCCAAACCTTGATTCCAACAGCATCTGCTTGTTCTAGACCCTTTTTGACAAGGGCCGACGCAATACCTTTCCTTCGATGTTGCGGATGTACTGTCAGATAGTCGAGGACTTTTAAAGTTAGTCTTGGCTCATTTCCGAGTTATATGGTGCAAGCATTGATTTGACTGAATCAAATGGGGCCAACATACCCAGAAATGGTCCTTCTTGGGATTTCATGAGTTCAATCTCAGCATCCTCGAGTGGGAGACCAAGAGCCTCTTGCAGACGCCAATCCATCCCTGGAATCATACCTTCTTCGGTGTTGGCTTGGAACTCGGCCTTGAAACTTTCTGATTCCTCGTCGGTTGGTTCTCGGACAAGCGCCTCTGGCCATTTCAATGTGCTATTGGCATCAGGCAGAATCCACCGAGCGTACCCAATAATTTCACCAGTGTCGTCATCAGTGGCTTTCAAATGGCGTTTTCCTTCGCGGCCTGATGCAAGACCATGCGGCATTCGAGCGGCGGCACCTCTGATGATTTCTTCTAGTGTGGTCGACTTCCAGAGCGCTCGCCAGTGGGCGTCGGTATGATAGAATGCCGTCATGTTGTTCTTGGAAACCCCTTGAGCGTCATCATAGTCGACGGCAGATATCGTGAAAGCCATTGAGTCGTAGGTAAGAAACTACCTTAGGTACGTTTCAACAAAGGCGGCACTCAAAGTCGAAGTAACGAGAAAGACACCGGTATTTGGCATAAACTTTGAAGTTGAATGATAAATGTATCCAAATAGGCCATCTGGGCTTTTCATACCCTAACCTTTTTCGATTTAACGACACTCACACATAATCTCGTCATCAAAAGGAACACGTGTTCTCTTCTACAAGCAGATCATACGAGTCCGAGAATCAAGAGGGACGAGCCTGGTGTTATCGCATCGTCAGCTGGACCCCTGCCAGTAACTTTATTGTATGTGGCCTCTTGTAAGCCGGCTAGAAGCGGCAGCTCAAACGCCTCCAGGCCCAGGTCTCACCCCGTCATCACAGTTGCTAACGTAGTGCGCGATAAGCACGAGGTGGATTAAAACATTGACGGGATCCTTGATCGTCTGGATGCACCTTCCAGTTGACTAGTTACTCTGAGATAGATGGAGCAACTTTGCATACCAGTCAGAAGCGCATATCAGCTTTCCGTGAAGGGGTCCTGGTGAGAGTGAATGGGCTGACACCCCGTGCCTCCAGACTGAGTGATAAGATCCATGTACGTAAGTCCTCGCTTAGAAGCCGTCTGACCCGACAGATGATGTCTACCAGCGCTGACTCATCCTGGCTGGGCGCTAAACCTGCTGCCTCAGAAGTCGTCGATGTCTCCTTTGTCTACGGATAGACCCCACTCGTTCAACACCAATGTGATGAGTGATTGCCTGCACGAAGACAACCATCTATCAATCAAGATTCCTGCTGATTATCTTTTCTCCTATTGGGCGCTGTCACCAACGCGATGTCCTTGTGCCTCCAGCCTATCAAAGCCTTTTTCCAATCACAGTTCGCAGCGAGGAATGAAGCGCGTGCCGAAACGCAAGAAATATCACAGTGCGACTTTTGCCAAAGATTTGTTTCCGCAATGAAAAGGAAGCCAACCGGCCACGTATCTCTTGACCTCGAGCCTTTCAATCAAATTGTGGCTTCAGCATGCACTCGCCATCGACCACTATTGGAGAAGGTGACGAGCTGGTTAGACTTGCAAGAAGGAGCCACAGAACCACTGCACCTTTTCAGAAACTACTTCGATTATTCAGTCACATTTACGCTGAAAGATAATTATGGTCAATCGTCGCCTTCGTTAGATGTATTGGAAAGCCCCGACGGAAAGCAATTTGTTGGATATGGGATCCAACTTGACCCATCCTGGATCGACAACAAGACTCTTATTCGGTGGTACGACACATGCACGTCTGGCCACGGAGAAAAGTGCAGCAAACCCGAGTATCTTGGTTACCTTCCCAAACCTGAGCTGAGAATTCTGATTGACGTCACGGACAACTGCTTGACCCCAGCTCCAGAAAATGCCTCTTACATGGCGCTCAGTTACGTTTGGGGCAAAGTAGATATGCCCAAAACATTCACGGCAAACCTATTTCAACTACAAAAGCTAGGGGCCTTGAACAACACTTCTCTCCCAAAAACCATCCGGCATGCTATGTATTTGACGGGACTCCTTGGCGAACGTTATCTTTGGGTGGATAGCCTCTGTATCGTGCAAGACGATGAAGAATTCCTCAATGGTCATCTAGGCCGAATGGCATCCATCTTCGCCCATGCTCAAGCTGTCATTATCCCAATTGACGGGGAAAATGCCGAAAGTGGGATTCCCGGGTTGAAAGAGGCGCCTGCGGCGCAACCCAGGCACCTTGAGCAGGAAAGTATCCCATTTGGGGAGAGGACGCTTCTCATTCGCAACAAGATGGGGACGCATGGAAGAGGCGAATCGTCATCCAAGAAGGCTGACTACTTCGATCGCGGATGGACGTTTCAAGAGTATCTGTTCGCACGCAGACGAATATGCTTCGAGAATAATAGCGTCTGGTTTCAGTGCTGTCAATCTACCCAGTACGAAGACCACAGCCATCCGGACCTTCCCGACCGCAATCGCGACTTCCTGTTGGATGTCGGGTACCCGTCTCTCACCGTCTTTTCACGCCTAGTGGAAGATTTCAACCAAAGACATCTCAGCTACCCGCAAGACTGTCTCGCCGCCATAGCAGGTATGCTTCCATGCTACTCGAGAGCATTCAAAGGGGGGTTTCTTTGCGGGCTCCCAAAGTTGTTCTTCGACGCAACTCTACTTTGGCAACCTGGAGATGATCTCGTACGCCGCGTGCCATTAGACACAGGGACCAACTATGGCGGCATCAATAGCCGTAGTCTGCCGACTTGGTCCTGGGTAGGATGGCAAGGCCGTCTCGACTTTGAAGGTTGGGCAACAGGGAATGATTTTGTGGCCGCATGCAGCGGCTGGATTGCCTCTTCACGGCAGCAAATAATCCCGACTACCAAATGGTTCACTAGCTCTGATGTCTCTGGCAAGAATGGCAAGAGACCCGTGGAAGTTGAGTGGGCGTTATGGAGAGATCGATACAAGGACACGAAGAGTCACCTCCCTCCAGGATGGACACGAAGAAGGCGGCGAAAAGGGGAGAGCTTGACCATAGAGGAGTTCCCCGACGGTTTCGGTGAGTATTTGTACAAGCATAAGTCTTGCGGGGCACGGTTTTGGTACCCCATACCCCTCTCGGATCCAGACTACCCGCAACAGCAAACAACCCCCAGCTTCTCTGAGGCGACGTACCTATTTGGCTCAGTGCAAACGGCACATCTTTCAGCTTCGGGCGCAGTATGGATGCATGAAGAAAGAACTAGCATGGGACCAGTGAATCCATCGACTGCTCATGTATCGATGCGCACTTCTCAGAACGAATGGGCTGGAGTGATACGACTACACAGCCGGGATCACTTCGAAAGACAAGGGTTGGACCCGGCGAAGAGTCCTGTTGAGCTGCAGCTGATTGCCATATCTCGGGGTTTCATAGCAAACGGTCTTGAGAGTTATGCTGCAAGAGAAATTCCAGAGTATGTTTTGGAAGAACGGCCAAAGACTGGCGAGAAGTATGAATTTTACAATGTCATGTGGATCAGGTGGAGGAATGGGACTGCTTATCGAGAGGGTCTTGGTCGGGTGCACAAAGACAAATGGGATTCTCTCCAGGTCTCAAATATTGATATCGTACTTGGATAATATTAATTATGAGGACATTGTTGCCAACTTTTTCTAATAGTCTACATGTAGTGATACCCGAGGGTATTTCAGTAAAAGTCTTCAGTCGCATACCCGAGAGAGCCCCTCATACCGTCTGCTTAAGTCGGCCAAGCATGAAAGCATCGAGGTACTCTAGACTTGACTTCAAATCAGATTTGAGCAGAGACTTTGCCGCCGTCATGGGCAGTCTCTCAGGTGCGGGATATGCTAGGTATGGCAAGGAACGAGTCCTGTGGGCGGCCCGAAACACCTGGTTGATGTCAATATCAATCGTCTTTCCGATGAGACATTGGGTGGCAAACTTACTCTAAGGCGCTTTACAACGTCCTCCATCTCTTCGGCGATCCGCACATGGAGCTTGTTTTCGGGAGACAGCTGGTCTCTAAAAGAATGCTTCCGGAAAGCTTTGCCTAGTGCACGCTGCCTCACAGGCACACTACGCTCAAGGTCTTCCTCTGATAGGTAAGGTTCGAGACCAAGGAAGGCGTCCAACGCCTGGAAAAGCAAGACCTGGTTTCCGCTCAAGCCGTTGAATCGAACGTCGGGCTGCTCTTTGTTACCGGCGCTCCAAGCGAAAAAGCTCTGTACTCTTGAAAGCCACACCGACCGAGGGATGCGAGTTTCATGCATACGGTCGTAATAGCTCTTCAGTACTGTCCTCAATTGTGTGCCAACAGCCGCCACATGACGCGCACACTCTGCCATGTCGCCTCGTGTCCAGGTGATAGTGGCAAGAAGCATCTCGTAGTAAACGGACACGGCCCGGACTTCGGTTTCGTGGAAAATACGTGCGAACGCCTCTTCGGCCGCAACGATGGGTGGCGTCATACCAGTGTTAGCTCGAAACATGTATTCGCCATCGACGTCGAAGTTCAATATCAGATTACTGGTATTGTTTCCAGCATCAGATGCGCAGTCGAAATGTCGCTGCATGTACTTCCACGGAAGAACGAGCTCCTCAGGCAGATCGACCTGCGTCTCCATCTGGGCTACCTTCACAACCGGAATAGTAGCCCATCGATACGCATGTCTGCAGGAAGCGATGCAGCAATAAAAGGCGTTGTATACATCTTGAGGCATCGCGTCCCACTGGCCGGCCTCTGTGCTGCTCAGAAGACCTTCGACCTGGGACAGGTCAACTTCTTCCCGCAGGACTGTTCGGAATCGGGAGCGGAACTCGGCGATGCGGGCGAGATTGACGTTGTCGTCCAGAGAAGGGTTGGCTTGTGGGATTTGGGGAGCCAGCTCCATGTAAATCTTCCGGTACGGCCGCAGAGCTTCGGGCCAGGCTCCGAGAGCATGGTTCGCTCGGGGTGGCCAGGACCCGGCTCCATCGTTCTTGACAAGATCGGAGAGCACAAGGGCTATCTCGTGACGTCCAACGAATCTTTTGATATTTTCGATGTTTCGGTCTCTCAATTCTTCGTCGGTCTTTTCGGAGACTGGTTTCTCATCCAATACCTTGGGTCGTTTGCACGAACAGAAAAGCTTCCATACCCGGGACGCCAGACAAGCAGCCCCAAGGCAACAGAAATATGTGATGAAGATTTCCGCTCTCATTATGGAAGACTCTCACTGACGAAGATTTCGATGTTGACGTATGATTCAGTTGATGCTAGAGAAGGCTGAGTGAAGAGAGGTAATGTGTCACGCCAACATTGAAGTAGACGGAATGATGGGAGTATAAATAGTCGGCTCCGGATCACCAGCACTCCCTCTATCAAATGCAGCTGCCTCATACTGATCTCATTTGCGACACCGAAACTGCGGGCACATGTGTGACTCCCTAGCTGTGCCTCCTATCACCAAAACCCACAAGTGACTGTGCCCCATCCACGCGCCTTTCTTCACCCGGCATCGATGCCCAAAAGAGATTCATTAAGCGCAATCTCCAGTTTAATCCAAGCTGTTACGCCCGAAATCAAAATTGAGGACTTTTCCACAGCCAATCATGCCTGAAATATTGCAACTCAAGGTTGGGGGCGTTTGAACCTCAAAAGTCTAGATTTTGATACGGGCGTAGTAGGCGACCCACTCACATACAAGAATGAATTTCCAACAAGATGGGAGCCTAAAAGTCGTTGTGGCCTCAATCCCAACTAAGAATAGAGTATGACTAGTATTGGAATGACAAAGACTGCATCTCAGCCATCCTGCTTCCCAAATTCCGTAAATGGCAGAATGTTTCGAAAACGAAAATATAGTCAGCCTAACTGAACTAGACCACAATAATTTGCTTTGGAATCAGCAGCGTCAGCAGTAAGAATCTGTGAAGATCAAATGCTCGAAAACGGAGCCATGAGATTGACATTTTGATGGATTTGTTTGTTCATCAAGTTAGAATTAGGCTACTAGAGAACCTTCTCATGGTTACTTTGGTGTTGTGACAACATGATTACAAGACCGTGGCGGTTCGACGTTCCCCTTTAAGACCAATCCATCAGGCGAGCCACGTGACAACAGAACTCGCGAGATATCCCGTACTTTTTCTCAGATTGGCTATAAGAGGAATACGTATCAAGATCGCAATTAGTTCTTGGTCCAATCTTTTTTGAATCAGTGGTTATCAAGAAGACAAGCAACCGGTTTTGCCCATTCAGCAACTGTTGAATCTTGAAGTACGTCTCGGTAAATCTTAGAATGGGTAGCTTTGCGGGAGCCTCTATCTCGCCAGATTTGTATAGGACACAGCAGTGGGTATATCTAGTGCCTCTGATGCGAGGCAACTTAATCACCTAGCTATGGAAACTATCAGCCATTCTCGATCACCAATGGTTTTGTTTGAATTGAGCCGCAGGTACTTTGCCCTAGTCCGTCTAAGGAGGAGTTTCGAAAGCGAACTACTAGACTACCTAAGCTGAAAATCAGGTTTTCCCGTGTCCCAATTCCATCCGAAAGTTTGCCAATCTCAAGCTCAGCCACGAATGGTGAAACATAGATTGGACAGCCTAGTTGAACGACTAGCATAGTACTTTATGCTAATGAAGGTTGTCATTCTGGTTACAAATGCCCAAGGTGGTGGCTTCAAGGTTACGTCAACGTTTTGTTGTAGTTTCTTCTCGCATCTCCACATGTTGACGTGCATGGAGGCAGCCATCTGCGGCCCAAAGTTGTACTTCTCAGATTTAATTCGTCAGTCTCCCAAGATCTCATATTGATGGTGACATGCAAGAAGATGCAATCCAATACCATAGCAGTGGAACGATCGTACCACGTGTGCATCCCCGTAGATGCGTGTAGTTCCGCAATAGAAGCCCTGATATTGCATGCTGCGATTTAGACACATGCCGCAAGATAGCCCTTTAATCAAATCATGCATACTTGATCCAGAGCACACTGGATCGGATGAATGAAAGCACACATGAATCATGTTCAGGCCAGACGTCGGAATCATTGACGGCCACAGCTGACCTAGCGGGACAAGGAGTGGGCTCGGCCTAGTTCCACCTGAAGCCAGAAAGCGCCTTACCCGCTTAACTAGCCAATGGCTCGATGAAACTCAAGCCATACGTCCGCTGTCCAATGGCCAGAGGAAGCGAAAACGTCCACGTCTTCCGGCAGTGCGATCAAATCCGGAGTCACGATATTGTGCTAGTTGCAGAGCGCGTAACAGATATCGAACTCTCCATCCACTCACCGGACTAGCTTGTATCGCAACACAAAATATTGGCGCTCATGAACAGGTCATGTGGGAAGCAATCAGGCAGGACAAAAGCCCGTGGTATCGCTACCGCTTTTGGCCAGCCTAAAAGCCATGCCTCCCGCAAATGCTCGACTGCATGCCCAGAACTCATTTTTTTCTCCGCAACTACCCGACAGTGCCCTACCCGACCCCTCTATTTCATGTTGGCGCTTTTATCAGTTTCGTCGGACTGTTTTTGCCGTGGCAAATGATCAACTGCCGTTGGTTAGACGTCGTTCGATAGCGCACGTACAGGGGCGCGGATCCCTCTCAACCCCATGCACCCCGCAGGCCCGGTCTGGCAGGTCATCCGTTGTGTTGTTGGTCGTGCGGGGTGATACGGATATGTGTATGGGACGATCACAGAACTTCTGTTAGACAGCTTGATAGCGCAACGTTGAACCGAAGGAATGCAACGTTGTTGGGGGTTTGGTGAGGAGATGGAGGAGATAGCGGTGCTTCCCCTTGTCGAACGACCTATCTCGCCCGACAGCTGGGCCGAGACCCCGACTCCCCCGCCTCTGCATCCGCCACCAACTCTAAGTCGGGAGACGGGTTTTCCGACATATATTGTCGGAGCTGTCCCCGCGCTCCGAGTGATGTAGAATTGTCAGTCCGGTGTTCATCTCTGTCTCTGAGTTGTCGTATCAATTCATTTCACCGGGGCCCGGACGGCACCACCGCGTGGAGTTCTGAAGCCAAAATGTCCGGAAAAGCGGAGATCACCGCCGACCAGCCGTCCCCGGCCGCGGACGATATCGAGAAGATCCCGGCCAAAGTTGAGAGCAATGAGCGGATCGGGGACCAGATCTCCCATGAGAAACTGGAGGAATTGGCACCAAATGGCGAGCATGAGTACGTTCTGGAGAAGATCAATGGCATGACGGAGGAAGAGGCCATCGAGATCATCGAAGAGAGTGTGGAGTTCTTCAAGGACGACTGGAACTTTCCATCTGATATGCGAGAGCGCATGAAAAGACTTCTTGAGGGACCGAAATCATATGGCGAGTTTTACGACCGCGATCTGAGGATCGATGCGGTTATGATCCGCTACTCGTCTCCTTACCCCGGCGTTCGCGCCGTTGCCGAGATTCTGGACGACCAAAACGTCCCGATCGAAACAATCCGGGCCTATTTCCTAGGCATTGGATGGGCTGTCATTGGTACCTTCATCTCGACATTCTTCAACTCAAGGTTCCCTGCCATTTGTGAGTCTCCTGGGATTTCTAGACGTCATGCTAGTGCTAGGCTTGTTTTTATGTTTTCGTCTTCTCGCTAATCTCTTGGGCGCGTAGCT